TTTCCACATAACACTCAGTGCTCATCCCCAAAGTGCCCTCCTCCATGCCCATCCCCCCTCCCTCCCACATCCATCAGTCCTCAGTTTTTGTCAGCATTCAAGAGTCTCTCATGGTTTGCCTCTCTCCTTTTCCCTCACCATTTCCGCCCTTCTTCTCCCCCTTGTTCCTCCGTCAAGTTCCTCCTAATCCTCCTATACGTGACTCCAGTTTTTGCCCCCTCATCCTAGAGAGTGACAAAGATTGCTCCCCAGTTTTTCAATCTCACAGCTGCCTTCCTGAAACCTTCAGATATTCCTATAAGAAATATACTAGCCCCAAAGGTTTATTTTATCTTTCTAGGTTTACATCTTGGTCAGATCGTATCCCTATAAGTCTTAACTGCCAAATTATCCTTCCTGATACCGATTTACAAGAGGAAATTCTTGCAAATCCATGAGAACACAGGTACAAAAGTGTTCACATAGTTTCTTATAGCAAAAGAGTTGAAAAGAACCAAGATGTCCATTAAGAAGAGAATAAATAAATAAATATAATATTCATATAAATGAATGAACATTTGCATGATGTTAGAAGAGTCTTAAAATCATGATGTTGAGTGAAACAATCAAGATGCTTTTTATGGAAAGATAACATATAAGTTGAATACTATCGTGAGAATAAATACCAAATTTAGGAGAGCAGTGATTCCTGAGGGTAGGAGGATTGATGCAGACCAGGAAAGCCACAGCAGGGCTTTAACTATATTGGTAATTTTTATAGGGGTGTTAATTGTGTAAAAAACAATAATTTACAAATGAATTTATATAGAACCACAGAGAAGGAAGAGATTATTTGTGTCCAGGAAAATCAAGGAGAGAGGTAGTTCTTGAATTCTTTTTTTTAAATCTTTATTTATTTTTGAGAGACAGAGAGACAGAGCATGAGCAGGGGAGGGGCAGAGAGAGAGGGAGATACAGGCTCCCTGAAGCAGACTCCACGCTCTGAGCTGTCTGCACAGAGCCCAGTGCAGGGTTTGAACCCACGAACCATGAGATCATGACCTGAGCCAAAGGTAGATGCTGAACTGACTGAGCAACCCAGTTGCCCCTTAAACTGATTCTTGAAACATCTGTAGATTTCTACAGATAGTAGTGAAAAAGAGCATCCCTGATAGAATAACAATGGTGGGAAAGTGGGAAGATTCAGGGCATGTTCAAAGGACTGACTACAAGTAGCCTAGTCTGACCAGAGAGCAGGGTGCATTGCAGGGTGCCTTCTTCCTACTTTCCCACAACAGCCCCCATGCACATGCACAGCCTTCCTGCTACGCTAGATAACACTTGTTGACACTGGGGTGAGGCTATATTCAAGCAAGTTGGAGATGAGGCTATGACTCATGTTGAGGTGCTGTGACAAGCCATAGTTGAGCTATATGGGCAGTGTGCATGGCTTGGTAGCCAGACTGCTGGGGATTCAGATTTCACCTTTGCCTCTCACTATTTGTGAGAACCTAGAAAGAGAGGCAGATTTGGTGACCAGCTGGTTAGTTTCTACTGTAGTAAAAGCATTATCTCTAGGGCATGAGAAAACTGACACTTATAGATATTAAATTCTTGTTCA